AATCACCAGCAAATCCAAGCTTCTTGTTGTAGCCCTTGTCCACCTTGATGCCAGGAATCATGCCATTGTCCTTGATGATGTCCACTATGGCTTTGCCCTGTGCATCTCTTTGAAACAGCGTCTCCCAGTGGAGGATCACTCCGCCGATGTGCTCGCTCAAGCCCGGAGTTGCGAAGCACATAGACCGATACTCTGCTCTGTTCTCGGCCACATCCTCGCATGTCACATGTCACAGCACCGCAACCCAAGAAAAACGAACGACTATAAGTCCCATCCGATCCTCAATCAAAGATTTCAAAAGCTATCTGTGATGGAAGAAACAAAACAGATCTTATGATTAACTATATAAACTCCGCAACTTATATCCAAAAACTCAAAATTCGAGATACAGATAGATTAAGCCCTTCACCCCAGTGATGCTTTGCCGCATAGCGTCTGGGATCTTTGCCGCTTCTACGTGTCGTGCCCTGAGCCATGGACCGGCGCTTTCATCAGCGGCCAGGAAACCTTTGCCTCGGTGGCGCAAAGCAAAGCATTGGGTGTAAACGGTGAGACAAGAATTGTTTGGAACATCATGAATCATGACATTACCATTGCGATTTGATGGTTTCTCATTTCTCATCGAATCTCTTGCTGCCCATTCACTAAATTGGACCGCACTGGGGGGACGCTCCAGTGCCTAGTGGGAGCCAAACCTTGCGATATAATGGTACCACGAAAATTGATGCTCTTGTGAACTGCATGGTGTACCCACATAGGTCACATGGCCCCAAGATGAAGAAAGCTTGCGCACTTGGACACTATCAACTTCGGTCTTGGCCATTTGGCCGCCAACAACTTGACACACAAATATCTGAAGTGGCTTTGAGAGGTTGCAGTTTACAACCAGTTCGGCTGGTACACCGATTTTTGTCCAAGTCTTCATGAATAAATGTAGATTAAGTATTACAAAACACAATATCAATTTCAAGCTGAGTTTTTCACCACCGCGCCTGGCGCGCAGAGCTTCCCCGCTGTCTCCTTGAGTTCCGCCAGCTTGTCTGCCGGCAGCACGCTTGGAAGGCCGCCCAGAGCCAAAGACATGGCCAGAAGCACGAGTCAGGTGGATGGTCGGGTGCGAGATGAAAAGGTCTGCGGAAGGAGCTCGGTTGGTGGGCGGTGTCTCATGTTGTCCACTCGGTTTCCTGACCTGGCGTGACTTCATGAACTCTTCTACTTCCATGATTCCTAA